CCTTGTTCTGAAGCCAAACAAAGTCACTGTTTTACTAGTCAACCAGGAAGTTGGCCAACAGAGATCAATGATTTACAACGAAGCAGTGGCGAAAGAGCTTCAGAGCTTCTACAGCGGTTCGTCTCAAAGTAGAGAAATAATGCGAGAAGCTGCTCCTTTTTCATTAGCAACAGGCCAGGTAAAAAGGGCAAGATTTAAGGGTGGGAAAGTTGGGTTGAAAGCTGAGTTACAGATACAGATAATCAGAATTGGAAGGGACCTTATAGGTCAGGGGTCTTCAAACTTGACAGCTTTAAGACTTGTGGACTTCATTTCCCAGAATTCCTCCTCCAGTCACGTTAGCTCAGGAATTCTGGGAGTTGGAAGTCCACAAGTCTTGAACTTGCCAAGTTTGAAGACCTTCATTGTAGGTCATCTAGTCCAACCCCTTGCCCAAGCAGGAAACCCAACCCCCGTGATGGCGAATCTATGACACGCATGCCGCAGGTGGCACGCAGAGCCATTTGTGCGGGCATGCGAGCCCCACCCAAACTTACCTGCACTGCATATGTGCATGCGTCTCCGCTAGTATTGGGCCTCCCAGAGGCTCAAGGGAAGCCTCCGCAACCTTTGGAGGCCGAAAAACCGGCCCGTTTAGTCACTTCTGATACTTCCGGTTTCATCACTTCCAGTATTTGGAGGCCAAAAAACAGGCCTGTTTTTCGGCTCCCAAGGCTTCAGAGGGTTCCCTCGAGTCTCTGGGTGGCTGAAACAGGCCGAAAATCAACTGGGAGGCATGTGCATGCGCAGATAAGGGGGCAGCAGGGGGGGTTGTTGCACAAGCATGTGGCGCATTGCATTGTGGGTGCAGGCATGCATGCTATTACACGTGCTTTCGGCCCACCACAACAAAAAGGTTCGCCATCACTGCCCTACACCATTTCTGATGGATGGCAGTCCAGTTTCTTCTTGAAGGCTTCCAGTGATGGAGCTCCCACAACTTCCGAAGTCAACTTCTGTTCCATTGGTTGACGGTTCTCACTGTCAGAAAAATTCCTCCTTATTTCCAGATTGAATCTCTCCTTGTTCAGTTTCCATCCATTATTCCTTGTCTGGCCTTCGGGTGCTTTGGAAAATAGCTTGACCCCTTCCTCCTCTCTGTGGCAACCCCTCAAAGTAAATTATTGCTCACATTATTAAAAAAAAATTTCTCAAATAAAAAGTTCGTCTTCCTCTAGATAAAATAAATAAAAGAGCAAGAAATACAAATACAGCAGTGAGCAGAGAATCGCATCCATAACCTTGTGCTTTTTCAAGAGGAAAAGTAACACTAAATGTGTTTCAGGTGCAGAAAGTGACTCCTTTAAATAACGATTCATAATTAAAATACAATCAAAAACCCCTTTGGGTTTCTGATTTTAGAGGTGTCCAAAGCAAGAGAGATAAACTGTCATAAATTACTCATAAAATACGTATGTCCTTATAGAGCAGTGGTCCCCAACCACCGAGCCCCGGACCGGTACCAGTCCGTGGATCATTTTGTACCGGGCCACCTATTTTGCTTGGGCGCCACCATCTTGTTTCGACGGCGCTTGAGAAAGTGCTTCCGGGTGAGCTTGTCGGTCGTCGGTTGGAAAGCGGAGTTTGGGTGCTGAAGGAATCCTTGTGCTTTAGTTTCGTCAAAGTGGGGGGTGGCTCCGTCCCGATGGCAGTGGAGTCTTGCGTTACTCAGGAGGAGATTAAGAAAGAGCCCAAAAAGCCCATCGGCCGCAAGAAGGTACAAAGGAGGAGTTGAAGGTGGCGGGCAGAAGCGGGGGATGGCTGGCTGGCCGGTCGCTCGGCTTGCCTTGCCTTGGTCGTGCGTGCTGATGCCGGTACCGGTCCATGGATCAGTCCGTGGATTGTACTGGTCCGTGGTACAAAAAAGGTTGGGGACCACTGCTATAGAGCATTGCTTTCTTCAACCTGAAGCCCTCCAAATGAACAGGATTACAGGTAGTCCTTGACTTACAACCACAGTTGAGCCCCAAATTCCTGTTCTCAAGCCACACAGTTGCTAAGTGAGTTCTGCCCCATTTCTTGCCATGGGGATGCTGCAGCGGTCGTAAGTGTGAAAAACATCTCTAAGTCACTTTTTTCCCAGTGCTGTTGTAACTTTGAACAGTCATTTTTGCAGTCCCACTGTAACTTCATCCGGTTACTAAATGAACAGTTGTAAGTCGAGGACAATTCTCCTTCATCATCATCATCATCACCACCACCATAAGAACCAGTGAAGTCAGGTGTTGAAGGTGCTGGATTGGGAAGGTCCAAGTTCTTCCTCAGCCGCAAGAAGCTCCCTGGGTGAATTTGGGCCAGCCGTGCTCTTGTCAGCTGAACCTTCCTCACAAAGTGGACCAAAACAGGTCTCGTCCTGCACTTGGATATAAACGTATATACCAGGGGTGGCTAGCCTTTTTCGGCTCCCGTGCCGATAATTGCGCTCGCTCGCATGCCCAGCATCCAGAAGGCAATGCATGGTGGGGGCCCCATGCCCTTGCGCACGTGGGTGCATCTTCTGCGCACTCCACTCTGCCCCCTGAGCATGCACGCCAGATAGCTGACAATCACACGCCAGATAGCTGACAATCACACGCCAGATAGCTGACAATGTGTGTGTGCACATGCGCAGTGGGGCTCTTCCGGGCGACCTTTCGCATGCCGGGGGAAATGGCTCTGCACGCCACTTCCAGCACTCATGCCATAGGTTCGCCAGCATGGCTGTACATCAAAAAAAATATCCTAGCATGTTGTATTTTTGGAACTTATTTCTAGTGGCACTACTGATTCTTTAACAGCTTTGTTCCCTATGCCATTTGTCCGGTACACTTGCAAGATTCAGACAATCAGATTAAACAGAGTTGGAAGGGACCTTGTAGGTCATCTAGTCCAACCCCCTCCCAAGCAGGAGACACTACACCATTTCTGACAGAGGGCAGATTATTCTTACTGTCAGAGAATTTCTCCTTATTTCCAGGTTGAATCTCTTTTTATTCAGTTTCCATCATTATCCCTTGTCTGGCCTTTGGGTGTCTTGAAAAATAGTTTGATCCCCTCCTCTTTTTGGCAGCCCCTCAAATATTGGAAGACTGCTCTCCTGTCTCCCCTGGTCCTTCTCTTCACTAGACTAGTCAGGCCCAGTTCCTGTAATTGTTCATCGTATGTTTTAGTTCTCCAATCCCCTAATCTGAACTAGACTGGGTTGTTGTGTGTCATATATAGAATATATGTCGGTATATGCATATTTTCCTATTAATATTTTTGTCATGTTTATGAAGTGCATGTGGGGAGTGGAGACCCTTTGAGAGTTGTATGCAATGAAATTTCACTTTAATGTATGCCGATTAGTGTACAATTAAAGTGACAATCAAGTTATTCTAAGTATATAATATGTTGTAAAACTTAAAAGAGGATTGCTGTTGGCTTATAGGAGGAGGTAGACGTTATCCAGAGCATGCCAATTTGGAGAGAGAAATGGTTTTCAAACATTGGTTTGCTAAGGGACAGAATTTATTTTCACAGCCCCATAGTTTGTTCAGGTGACTTAACACTGCATTTCACTAGGTCATCTCATGCATCCAGTCTAACCTGTTATTTTCCTAGATTGTGTGTGGGGGGGAATCATTATGTTGGAATGTTTCCCCATCATTAACAACATGGATCCTTTGCCAACCAAACTTTTTATTGCTTCTAAAGTCGACTCTGAAAATCCATAACTTGGATCTCTTTGGATTCTTTCTTCCAATTAGCATCATATTTATTTATTTTTCCCTTTGGTTAAATGGAATACTCAAGGCAGCCATCGAATGCACAAAAAGGCCAAGATCTCTTTCAAACATTTAAACCAAGAAATATGCCCGTCATCCTTCCCTGCCTCCTTTGACTCTGAATCTGACCCAAAACTATCAAACTATCACCACTGATCTGTCAGTTTTTCTCTTTCAAAGCCATTTTAGGGTGATCGCTTTTCATGAAAAATGAAAGCCTGACTTTGGTTTTGCTGATGTTAAATGTGTTGTTGGAGAAATGGCTAGTATATTTTATTGTAGAAAAGTAAACAGTTGAGGTTGTAATGTTATTTGTCTACTACTGTGCTAAAAAGAATCAGAGGTCAACACTCATTTTTTTTTTCATTTTCCCCTTCTACCCCATACTTTCTCCTTTTCCCCTCGCCTGGTTATTATTTTAATTTCCCTTTGTATTTTATACCCTGATAAACTAAGAAAAACATTTTGATATATAGATTGATCATTTTTTTGCCACATCTGAGAGCAAAGAGGGTTACAGCACTAGCTGCTAGGCTTACATACCGCTTTATAGTGCTTTACAGTCCTCTCTAAGCAGTTTACAAATTCAGCACATTCCCCGCAACAATCTGGGGCTTCATTTTACCGACATCGGAAGGATGGAAGGCTGAGTCAACCTTGAGCCGGTCAGAATCAAACTGCTGACAGCTGGCAGAGTTTTCCTGCAGTACTGCATTCTAACCACTGCATGCCTCTATGGTTTATTTGTACAGGGTTTATATCAGTGGTGGTATGCTACCGGTTTGTCTTGGTTCGGCCAACTTGGTAGTAAAAATCACTACCTGTTAGGCCAGCCAGTAATAAAAAAATGCCTCCGACAATCAGCTGAGAGAATAAATGACAGAAAAGCGCATGGGAGGGTGGCAGGGTTGCTTCTAGCTTTTCACTTCTTCATCATCTCAGCTGATTGGCTTGTTAGGTGCGTGTGCATTAGGAGCATGCATGCACACACATGCGCGATCACCCACTGAACTGGTAGTGACTAAGGTAGGATCCCACTACTGGTTTATATCCCGATAATGTCTGTGAGAGCCTCTGTGTAATAACACTGGTGACACTAGAGAAATTACAGGGACAGAACTCAAGATTCAAGACCATAGAGCCAACCTAGAACAACTTGATCTCAGCACTGTCGTTCCAGTGACTCTTCTAACGTTGCCTCTCCTTCGGTCACAGGGCCGTGTGAACATGCCAGAGGTATCAGCGGAGACCGTCTTTGATGTCCTCCATGACACCGAATACCGGAAGAAATGGGACTTGAATGTTATAGAAACCCATGAGATTGCCCGGCTGTCTGATAACGCTGATGTGGGATACTATTCCTGTGAGTAAAAACCTAGAAGGTTTCGTGATATTAGGTGCATAGTGTTCTTAACCAGGAGATAGCAGGATTTGATTCTTCGTTTTTGACACCCAGGTTCAAAACTCGGTAGGGAGAGAGTTTCACTCAAATTAGGGGGGAAATTGTCAAACTTTAGGCCTTTTATTTCTGGTGCCTTTGAGTCAACTCTTGACTCCTGGCAATTGTCTAGATCAATGGTTGCCAACTGGCGGGCCAGGAACCACTAGTGGCCCGTGAGAAAATTTTGGTGGTCCACAGAGAAATGTTCCCCTCCCCACAAAGCAATTAATCCAGGCTGGACAGGAACACAAGTCTATGCCGCCCACATGGCCCACCCACCCGCTGGTCCCCCCTTTGGCCGAGCGCAAACCTTCCCTTGAGTAGAGCCACGCGAGCTGGAACTGGAAAGTAAGGCCGGGGAGGGAAATCCGCCCTGGAGTGGCTTGTTGACATTGGTGGGAAAGTCTGTCCCCTATTCCGGAGCTGCAGTAGTCACAGGACTGGCCCTTGGGTCATCCCGGAGCAGCTGCTCCTCCACCCGGCCTGCCATGGACTGGAGGAGCTGCTTCAGGATGACCCAAGGGCCAGTCCTGTGACTACTGCAGCTCCGGAATAGGGGGCCGACTTTCCCACCAACGTCATCAAGCCACCATCAGTCAAAATTCATATAGTGGTCCACGGGATTTGAAATTATGAGTTTGGTGGTCCCTGAGGTCCAAAAGGTTGGTGACCCCTGGTCTAGATAGTTTCGCATTTTGCATTTTTCCTGGCAAGGTGTTTTGGATGTGGTTTTTTTTGGGCAGAGAGAGAGTGACCGGCCCAAGATTCCCCATGTTGACTTTGTGCCCAGGGCAAGACTAGAACTCACTGTCTCCAGTGATGCCTTAACCACTATCCTGAACTGACCCTCTGTGTTTAGGGCCTCAAACTACATGGTTCTCTGAATGCTAGAATTAAAGTGGAACCAGATCTAGCTAATTTAGGCTTTTGGGATGACACAGACAAGACTGAGATGGCCTTAGTGGATGCTTCTGGGATTTCTTCTGGAATTAGAGGTAGAAGACGTCTCGATACCAGAAGCGGGAGACCTTCTTTCTCAAGACCTCAAGCACTTTCAGAAATTTGCATCTCTGTATCCCGGTCTGCTTAGCCAGACCTCACTAGATCCTAAAGTGGCCAATATCTGCTGATATTTCAGATCCTTGGAGGTAGAGAAGAGCATCTGCCTTCTGGGTGGCTTATATTTCTCCCTCCAGAACGAGCAACAATGCACATTATGCACAAAATATGCTGTATGGTGCCTAAGGGGATGGCCTAGGATCAAAGCCAAAGTCTAGACTACGGGGATGGACCAGACCAGGAGTGTCAAACTCAAGACCCGCCTGCGGGGTGCTTAAATCTGGCCCACGGAAGCCAAAATGGGGCACAGGGCAGTGTATGTGGACCCCCTGCGCCCCATTTGGGCCAGCAGGGTATCCCATCTCACCACCTTCCGAGCAGGCCGCAGAGAACTACAATGCTTATCCAGTCCTCAAAAAAATCCACTTTGAAATCTCTGGACCAGGGCTATGCTTCAAATATTTTTACCACTGGTTTGGTCTCCGTTGCTCATTGGCACTACCAGCTTGGCCAAACCGGGCCGAACCAGTAGAATACCACCACTGCCTTGGACTAGACCACAGCTAAAGTGTCTAACCTTGGCAAATTTAAGACCTGTGGACTTCAACTCCCAGAATTCCGAGCTAATAGGACTGGAGGAGGAATTCTGGGAGTTGAAGTCCACAAGTCAAGTTTGGAGACATCTTCTCTATAATGTCGCTTTGAGGGTAGAAGTTGAAATAATTTATGTCCAGGATAAAGGCAAGAGGTTTGCAGAATTCTTCCAAAGCTTTTGGTCTCTTCTCCTAACAAGGACAATAAAATAGAATTCATTGTTTGTAGCAGTATCCTTATTTCACCTGATGGTATCCAGTCCTGTCAGATCAACCTGCCAAATTGCTAGGTATGCAAATTGGACGTCCTTGACATAATAATGCCAGCACATAACAGCGGCCTCGGGTTGGCAAGGCTCACCTGGATGATAATAAGAATTAACCTTTTCAGAATTATGCTTCTGAGTGCCACATACCCAGAGGGCTATTAACAGGTTAGAGAGAGTTTAGAACAGAGGTCCCAAACTTGGCAACTTTAAGACTTATGGACTTCAACTCCCAGAATTCATTGCTGGCTGGGGAATTCTGGGAGTTGAAGTCCACAAGTCTTAAAAGTAGCTTGGAGACCTCTGGTTTAGAGGAAGACAACAAAAGATGATGCAAGGACTGGAGAAACTGCTTGTGAAGATAGCCTGGAGAAATTTGAGGAGTTCAACCTGAAGAAAACAAGACTTTAAGAGAAGCCTGATCATGGTGTTCAGATGCAAAAAGAAAAAGAAAAAAGATCAGAAACTCTAGTTTTGCAGAAGGCTGGATTGGACGGTATTTCTGCTCCCTTCTAGCTCTACATTTGTGTGATTTAAATCAGGGGTCTCCAACCTTGGCCACTTTAAGCCTGGTGGCCTTCAACTCCCAGAATTCCCCAACCAGCAATGAATTCTGGGAGTTGAAGTCCTCCAGGCTTAAAGTGGCCAAGGTTGGAGACCCCTGATTTAAATTATGTTCCGCCCCCGCCGTCTTTTCTTTGTGTTTTAATCTCTGGCTATCAAATTGATTCACCTTTGCTACCTTCTCGACTAGGGAAGTGCCCCAAACCTTTAAAGAACAGAGATGTGGTCACCTTGAGGTCTTGGCGAGTCTTGGATAAGTCATATGTAATCCTCAATTTCTCTGTCAAGCACCAGGTAAGTCAGCCACACAAACACATAAGGGGGTCTCTGTGGGTAGTTTAGCAATACAGAGGGCTTAAACAGATACAGGCCGTCCTCGCCTTATGACCACAATTGAGCCCAGAATCTCTTGTTGCTAAGTGAGACATAGGTTAAGTGAGTTTGGGCCCATTTTAACGGCTTTTCTTGCCACCGTTGTTAAAGTGAATCCCCGCCGTTTAGTTAACACGGACGTTAAGTGAATCTGGCTTCCCCATTCACTCTGTCAGAAGGTCGCAAAAGGGATCCCAGCACACTCAGGTGGGCTTCAAAAAATTGCACAAAGGGTTCTCTGCCCAGTTGCTGGGTGGGCATGGCTATGGTGGGTGTGGCCTAGTCGGCCTCCTGCACCACAGTGGGGTGGGATGGGGGGCTTTTTTGCTCACCCCGGGCTCCGGAGGCTTTCCTCGAGCCTCCGGGAGGGCAAAAACAGCCTCCCCAGGTTCCAGAGGCCCTCTGGAGGCTGGAAACGGGCCCATTTCCGACCTTCCTGAACTTCTGGAAGGCCCGTTTTTCGCCCTCCCCGAACCTCCACGCTCCCTCTGCACTCACCTGCATCCAAAACGGGGACACCTGGGAGGGGTTGTAGGGGCCAACCAGGAGTAGGATTTGGGGGTTCTCTGAACTGCACAGAATCGTAGCTAGGGGCTCTCCCGAACCCACGCAAACCCCACGCTAAAGTTGCTAAGTGTCTATCTTTTGACCATGTGACTATGGGGAGGCAGTCATAGGGTGTGAAAAATGGTCACAAATCACTTTTTTATCAGTTCCATTGTAACTTCGGTTACTAAATGGACTGTTATAAGTCGAGGACTACCTGTACATAGTACGATTTGCACAGCCTAGTACACTAGACTGAAACGGGCCCCGTCGTTTTGCTTTCATGACATGGTGGGAACCTCCCCTTGGCTTAGCATAAATAATCATGATTTGGGCATTGCAAGCTGCCGTGTTACAGTTTCTTTTCTTAACCCGGATTTGGTGGGTTGTGAGAAATCAGCACAAGTGTGAGTTGAGCACTGGAAGTATCTGGGAGAGCTGCCCTCTGCTGGTAGATGTGCTTTTCTTCCACAACAGAGTCCCTGGTGGTCAGTGTTGGCTTTGCAGGTCCAGAGCTACAAAAATCAGTTCGGTGAAGACTGTTCTGACCCAGCTCTCTGAACACAACAAACCCTCTGAAGTGAACTCAAAAGATTCCTTTATTGGGAGCACCAATAGGCAAAAAGTTTCTCTCTCACCGCAGGCTAACAAGTCCGACCGGCCGAGAGATGGCTAGTTGTCTGCCACATTTATTCATCTCCGCCCCCTGGCTTTTATCTCCAGAGCTAGGGTGGGCTTCACTAGCAGTGGTGGCTCTTCCGTCCCAAGGACCAGCCCATAGATTTTCACTGCTCTCCTCTCCTCTGCCTTCTGTGCATCTGGCACTGGACCCAGATGTTCCTCCTCTTCCTCATCAGCCACCTCCAGACCTGATTCTTCTGTCCCAAGGACCGGCCCATAGATTTCCACTGCTCTCCTCCCCTCTGCCTTCTGCGCAGCTGCGTGTCAGTCACTAGACCCAGCTGTTCCTCCTCTTTCTCATCAGCCACCTCCAGACCTGCGGGCTATTGATTCTCCATCTGAGGGCTGACAGACAGCCCAGGCTTTGTCTCTGTCTCTCCCTCTCCGCCAGCTCCATTCCCTCTTCCCTCTCGGAGCTCTCAGGTTGCCTTGATCCTAGTCCTGACTCCCACACCTCCTCCTCCTCCTCCTCTGATTCAGCTGCTGGAGGGGCCAGCAGCCAAGAGGCCATGACAAAGACTGGTCAAAAGACTCAGACCAAAAACTCAACCCCAACCCATTATTTGGCTTTCTCTTGTATAGAAATACCCTCCCCGCAAGGACCTTGTCAGAGCTGTGTCACTCTTAGCTGGATACCTGGTGCAACCAACTGGACCTAGCAGCTGCTGCTTGACTTATTTGGCTCAGGTAGACCCAAAAGGTAAGGACCCGTTTTACAGGTAGATGTTGCCTTTATTTGGATCCGAAACAGGAAAGGTGTTTTAGACCCAGCGCTCTTCTCATCAACAGCACCCATAAGCATTCCCACAATGGATTTAATTTAAAATAATCAGCTGCTGCCAGGAAGTAGCCTGGGATGAGAGCCACTTCAAACATGGAGTTTTGCCAAGGTAAACTGAACTGTACGTGCAAGATACCCTAAACCTGCTTCAAGACCAGATCCTGAGCTGCTTATGTTGTCCTGAAGATTGCTTGGTCAACCGTTCCAAGTTTTCGAGGAGGACCTCTGGCGGCGCAGTGGCTAAACTGCAGCGTTGCAGGCTAACTCTGCCCACTTCCAGCAGTTCGATCCTGACCAGCTTAAGGTTGACTCAGCCTTCCATCCTTCGGTTGATAAAACGAGTTCCCAGATTGTTGAGGGCAATGTGCAAACAATGCTCCCATTGTAAAACTGCCCAGAGATTGCTGCTAATCCCTGTTGGGCTGCATGTAAGATTAAATGCTATTATTACTGTCTGAGCAAGAGCCCCATCCATCCATCCACACCTACACACTCATTCCATCATTCATTGTGGGAAGCTCATTAACTAACCGCTCCAACCACAACAGCTAAGAGTGGTTTTCATCCGTTGTGGCGTAAGGCTTGCAGGAGGCATTGAATAAGTGTGGGAAGCGTGTTAGATTTCAAGAAATTAGCACGGGGAACAGACCTGATCTACCAAATGAACACCTGAATGTCATATAAAGTCTGTGTATTTTAGTTGAGGCCCCGATCCAAGTGCTTTTTAAATCTTGTAGTTCGGGGGGGGGGGGGCACAGTGTTTGTTGGAGTTGTTCTTATTATTTATTTACTTATTAAAAGTCTAGGCCACCCATTTTACCTTCAGAGCCATTTTTTTAAAAAAATATATTCCTATTGCTGTGGCTGTCTTGGGATCCTAGTCACTGAAATAATTCTGGATTGTATAGAATGGGCTATTTGACACCATCCTGAATGTAAACAAAAGGATCCAGTTCCAAATTGGGTGGGGGCCAGGGACAATCCTTTCCCCCCACCCCAGGAAAGGCCTGGCTCCAGGGTCTCTGCAAATGTGTTTCTTCCTCCTGATCATGTTCTATGTATGAGCCACGGTGGCGCAGTGGTTAGAGTGCAGAACTGCAGGCTACTTCTGCTGCCTGCCGGCTGCCTGCAATTTGGCAGTTTGAATCTCACTAGGCTCAAGGTTGACTCAGCCTTCCACCTTTCTGAGGCTGGTAAAATGAGGACCCAGATTGTTGGGGGCAATATGCTGACTCTATACACTGCTTAAAGAGGGCTGTAAAGCACTGGGAAGTGGTATATAAGTCTAAGTGCTATTTCCATTGCTATTGCCCTTCCTTCCTTCCTTCCTTCCTTCCTTCCTTCCTTCCTTCCTTCCTTCCTTCCTTCCTTCCTTCCTTCCTCCCTCCCTCCCTCCCTCCCTCCCTTCCCCTTTTCTTCCTATTGAGTTGTGGTGGGGCAGTGATTAGAATGTAGTATTACAGGTTAACCCTGCCCGCTGCCAGGTGTTCGATCCTGACCGGCTCAAGGTTGATTCAGCCTTCCATCCTCAAAATTGTTGGGGGCAATATGCTGACTCTGTAAACCGCTTAGAGGGCTGTAGAAGCTCTGTAAAGTGGTATATAAGTCTAAGTGCTATTGCTAAGGAGGACGTTCTGTCACAATTATTTCATTGTAGCTGTCCTCCAAGACCTTCATGAATCCTCTTTTTGGTGCAGGATTCTTTAGCAGGACAAGCAAGCAAAGAGATTTTTGAGTGCTGGGCAACCCCTCCACCCAAAACCCTTTCTAGCTTGTAGAGTTTGAAGTCTAGAAACAATTTATATCTCACTTCAAGATCCCTCTGCTCAACAGGTCTTTCCTAGAAATGTGTGTTCTTTCATGCTTTCTTCTTTCCCCTTCCTGGTCGGCTTTGGCGTCCCTTCACTGCCCTTTCCCAATCCTCCCCAGTTCCTTGGTGGTGCTTTCTTCCGCTCTGGTTTTCTCCACTTCTTCTACAAATATGCTTCTTGGAGGAATTTCATGTGAGTGGAGAGCTGAGCGGTCATTGTACCAAAGGGATGGATGGACACTTTCCGTGTGGGACGAGGGTGAAATTAAACTTGATTGAAGCTGCCTATCAGGATTCCAGCAATTGCCCTAATTAAATCATGAGCCAAACTTCAAAAAAAAAAAACCTTCAAAAGATTTATTAGGAGCGACATGCTGGCATGACCTGTATGAAGCCGACTCTGAGACGTGTAATTTACAATCCCCTCTGACCCTGTTCCCCAACCCCCCCCAAATCCCTCTGGGTGTATCATAATTCAGATTCTCCAATGAAACAGGTTCATGGGCTGGGTGTCATCAATCATGCTCTCCAATAGAGGATTTTCGCACCCAGAATACCCGGTTGCTTCAGTTACAATCTTTGTGAGATACGCTTGGAATGTGTTTCTGAGTTCATTTGCCGTATGCTCCTTCAAGATTCCCCCCCCCCCCCATTTCTTATGGCAACTTGGAAACAGGCATAGGAATGTTTTATAAGTTGACAGTGCATATATTTTCCATTTCTTCTCCAATCTAGGATCCCTGCCTAAGTGGGTTGTGAATAAAGCATCTCAGTACCTGGCGCCAAAGGTGAGTTGAGGCCTCACCTGTTTGGCTGAGCTGGTTCTCATCATGAGTCACAGTGGTTTCCCCAACACTTTATTGATTTAAATGAGACCAAGGAACAGAAAGCTACAGTCTACATTTATCTCTCCAGGGCAAGGTTGAGGTTGCGATATTGATTGGCAACTAGAGCAAAGGTATGAAATGGAGGTAAAAATTGTAAAGGGAGAATAGAATTGTCAGAGTTTGCAGCAATCCAACCAGCACACAAGTAAATAAATCAGCAGGATTCGTTTATAGAAGAAACTTGTTTATATACAATAATATAAAACGTGATGCATGTATACAATACCCACGCAGCTTTTGCAACGTGGTAGCAAGTACAAGAAGCAGAAGCCAGAACCACCAGAACTCAGAATCACAGAAGCTCTATATTTATACAGACCAGTTACCCTAAGCCACGCCCAGTCTCCAACCTGTCAGGTATGGCTCACAACAGGTGCTGTTTCTTAGTCACCAAACAGTTCCCATTGGCTGAGTTGTTGTTATGGCTAGCCCAGCTCGTAATTTCTTATATACTGACAAGAAGAGAAGTAGGGAAAGGGGGGAAGGGAAGGGAAGGGAAGGGAAGGGAAGGGAAGGGAAGAGATGGAAAGGGCCGTGGATGTCTTCTAGTCCAACCCCCTGCTCAAAGGAGACCATTTCAGACAGGAGACCATTTGTCCAGTCTCTTCTTAAAAATCTCGAGTACCCACATTGATATCTGCTTTTATTTTACTCAAACACTTATTACCAACTGAAACTCCAAAAGATTCCAGATTGGATTTCATTTAAATTTATGATTTGTAAAATATGTTAGTATAAAATACCCTCCGGTGGTACCTTTAGGAACGTTGGTTTTGAGCTTATATCTTTTTGCTTATATCTCATTTTAACACATCACTGCACGTGGGCAGGCACATTTTATTGTTGACGTGTGGGATGAAGAACTCGATTTAAATTTAGATTCTTACGAAAATGGAACAACAGCAACAGAAACAACGACGGCAAAATTGAGAAAGATTAAAATCTTCCCTCCCTGTTCCCAATTTTTTTTTTAAAAAAAAAGCATGTTAGAAGGTGATGGGAAATGTGGGGGAAGAAAGAAGGAGGGTGGAAAGGGGTAACAGAAATAACAGAATAACAGAGAATTGGAAGGGACTTTGGAGGTCTTCTAGCCCAGTTTGAGTTTCAGTGCATAAGCCTTAAGCTTTTATAATATTAATTATAAAATTATCTTACAATATTAATAAGCAGGTGGAGCTTTAGTAGCATTGTGGTATTGTCTACATTGCCTGCAAAATGTTGTGGTTCGCGGCAGCCGGTGCAACATGGCAGCGGAATTGGACAGTGGGGAAGAACGGGGACCAGTCTGGGAGTCTGAGGAGAACTCGGACGAGGGTCTTGCGTCCGATGCAGAGATGGAGCCAGGACCATCTGGGAGTGGGGTGCTGCCTCCGGAGCCTCCAGAATGTGGCAGCAACGAGGCAGAGGAACAAGGGGAGCCTGTTCCCAGTGCGCATATGCGCAGAGCTGCTGGAAGGCCAGAGCAGCTGAGACAAAAGCCTTGGTCAGAACGCCAAGAACATTGTGAGAAAGAGAGTGGACTTGCAAGCTTTTTGCTCGTTTTCTTGTTTACTATCTTGACCCAGGTTCTTTCCCTTTCTTCTCGCCCTACGCTTCAGCTTATGAAGAAAATGTACAAAGCTTGCCTGAAGTATCCTTCCTGGAAGCAGCAACACAACGCGGGCAAAAAGCCTTGGTTGCATCCCGAGCAGAGCCTTCTTCCCACCATGCCCCTCTCCGAACTGTCCCTCCAACATGCCTCCTCGCTGGAGAACATCGACGAGAGCGGCTTGACGGAAGCCAAGGAAGAGAAAGGAGACATCAGCGGTTCAGAGAATTGATACCAATTTGACTTTTGCTCACTTTTGAGACTTAGCACTCGCCAGCCAGCTGGCTTACCCAGTTGGTTTTACAATAAAGGATAAAAAAAGAAAAATCAGAGGCATTTTTTTTAAAAAATTTCACGGCTGCTGCATGGCACTTTATCTTTCCTAGCTCGTGCAGGCAGTGTGGCTTAGGAGAAACTGGTTAGGGAAGTGAATAGATGTCTCTATATTTTCCAGGAGGAAACAGTGCAATTTATTTTGAGGGAAGGGACCTTATAGGTCGTCTAGCCCAAGCACAAGACCCTACACCATTTCTGACAAGAGGGCACTGAAGTCTCTTCTTGAAAACTTCCAGTGATGATGCTCCCACAATTTCCGAAGGCAACTTCTGTTCCGTGGGTTGATTGTTCTGTCAGGAAATTTGAGTTTCTTCCTTCTCGGGAAGGTTTGAGTCTCTCCTTGTTCAGTTTCCATCTATTATTCCTTGTCTCATTTTCAGAAATTTCTGATTCCTTGTCTGCTTTGGAAAACAGCTTGACCCCTTCCTCTCTGTGGCAGCCCCTCAAATATTGGAACATTGATATATCTCTCCTGGTCCTTCACTAGACTAGCCAGGCACACTTCCTGTAACCATTATTCATATGTTTTGGTCTCCAGTCCCCTAATCATCCTGGTTGCTCTTCCTTGCACTTTTTCTAGAATCTCAACATCTTTTTTTTATAGTGTGACCAAAACTAGATGTAGTACTCTAGGTGTGGTCTTACTAAGGCTTTACAGAATGGTATTATAGAGTGTCTGTAACATCCCTTTTAGTTTCCCCAGCCAGAGGAATTCTGAAAGTTGGAAGTCCACAAGTCTTAAAGTTGCCAAATTTGGAGACTTCTGATCTATAGGGAGCCCTTTGACCTCCAGGTAATATGGTGCTGAATTTCAGAATGTAGTTCTTCAGCCCCAACAAGGATTATCAAGATGGCCAATGAGAGGCTACTTGGCTTGGTTTTAGAAATCTGTACTGTATGATGCACATGGGTGCTGTTGAGGGAGACAAGGTTGGCCAATGACCGGATGAGTGGAAACCCAAAGCGGTTGTGCGGCCTTTTGACCAAAATTTTAAATCTGTGCCACATTGGTGACATATTGGAAGGGAGGGACCTCTCTAGTAAAATGCTCTTGACTTGCTTGTCTAGTTTTAATGGGGAAGCTTTTGAACCACATGTGCAGAAATCTCCATCCTCCTCTTACCCTTCCCAGGTTGGGTGCTCTTTGCTTGGATGGATGGATAAACTACAGAGCAGAGATCTCCAAACTTGGCAACTTTAAGACTTGTGG